GAGTATTTTACATCTTCTACTCTGTTCCACAGAAGGTGGAAAAATGAACTGTAGCACAGTAAACTGGGAATCTACTGGTTCATTTCTTCTCAAGCTTCAGTTTTTTAAAACATATACTTTATGAAGATCTTTTGAACAAATTAGGTCTTCCTAAAAGATGAAGTACAAGGTACTTGTGTAAAATAGGATTTCATCCACAATTACTTGATGTAGGGAGTTTTATTGTAGAGAAAAGCAACCACCCGCTAATTTGAGTATAACTAAGTATGCATCTATTCTACACAATATAATTAATACAGTTTAACACCACTAACTGCTGTATTTCGGTGCTATGGAATCCTGAAATATATAGTTTGCAATAGCACTCTTTGGCAGAGAAGGCTAAAGATCTTGTAAAATCCCAGGATCCCACAGCATTGAGCTATGACAGTTTAAAGGGTGTTAAACTGCATTAATTCTGAAGTGCAGGTGCACCCAAACCTCACATGTTATGACAGCAGGCCCTAGAAACCACTAGGTCCCACACCAAGGCACAGCCCAGTGTTCAATCAAAAGTGGAAGGCTTGATTAGTAAAAGACCAAAGAAAGGAATCTCTGCTGCAAAGGCACAAGTCATGTCCTTCTAGAAGTTGTGTGAATGAGAAATGCAGAGCAAAGTAAAAGGACTCCCATTCAAAGATGGCAAAAGATTATTACAGGAAAGCATATTCTAAGCTCATACTCTTTATCAGTAGGAGTTATGTGCCAGGATGATGAATAGCAAGCCTTGTCTCTATAAATTGCAAAACCATACCAAACTAAACCCTGAGTTGCTGTGAGTTTTCTGGGCTGTATGGCCATGTTCCAGAATCACTCTCTCCTGACGTTTTGCCCACTTCTATTACAGGCATCCTCAGAGGTTGTGAAGTCTGTTGGAAATTAGGCCACTGGGGTTTATATATCTGTGGAATGCCTAGGGTGGGAGAAAGAAGTCTTGTCTGCCTGAGGTAAATGTAACAAGAAAGGGGGAAACTATGAAAATGAACAAAATCTGGCTAACAGTATTTTTAAAAACTCTAAAATCAAGACAGTAAGTAAAGAGAAACACTCAAAAATAGGCGAGTTCCAGACAGGAAACAATCAGAGTCAGTTAATACCTCCTAACAAAAGATTCCCCCAGGCAAGAAGCAGCCAGGCTTTGAAGCTACAAGGCCATTAAATGCTAATCAAAGTGGCCAATTGCGACATTCAAGCAGAGTTCTTTCTCCCACCCTGGACATTCCACAGATATATAAACCCTACTTGACTAGCTTTCAACAGACCTCACAACCTCTGAGGATGCCTGTCATAGATGTGGGAGAGAGTGCTTCCGGAACATGGCCATACAACTTGGAAAGCTCACAGCAATCCAGTGATTCTGGCCATGAAAGCCTTCGACAATACATCAAACCAAACCCCTTCACACTTGCATAGGCTCAGACATATGATGACATTGAAGAACATAGCCCCTAAAAGGAGGGGGCAGACATGTTTCGGTGGGCCCAAAATTAGGGGGCCCTGGTGTGAATTAGCCACCTAAGTAAGATGAACAGAAGACAAAAGGCAACTTTATAAAATATTGGCTTTTATTTTGTCCCTCAAACGATAAATAATTATTTTATTATTGTTTCTTCAGCTGAACAATCAACAGCCATGTCAAAGCGCAACTAGTTAAGAGTGACTTAATCATCTAGCAATTTTATGCATCAAATGATATAGCTAAGTAAGTTGATTTTATTGAAGTTATTGAAAAAAAATGTAACAAAAACTAGAATATATATAGCACTTTAAGATAATTTGTGATATAATTGTATGTTTTATTGTGTAAATCCAAATAGTTTTTGATAAATATAAATGTTACTTTTATGTCATCTTTTGAACTGATTTGTTTTATCCTAAATCTTACAGAGCATTATGCTGTCCTTAACATTATGGTAGGAAAATAGGCCTGCAATCTATCCTGGCTGCTTCAGGATACAGGGTTCATGGTAGAGAAAGTCAACTGGCACGTGTGTGTATGAGCATCAAGTCACTTTGAGAGGCCATGGTGTTATTGTTTTCTTGCTTAACTGTTTTTAATTTGCTTTATGTATTGTATTGTTTTATTGTGTTTTTGGGGCTTCGGCCTGTGTAAGCCGCATCGAATCCCTTGGGAGATGCTAGCGGGGTACAAATAAAGTTAATAATAAATAATAATAATAATGGTGGCCATTTTTAATAGGGGCTAACTGTATAAGCCTCTCTACAGAGACTGAAAAACCCCTATAAAAATGACCACCTCAAATGTCAAAACTGGCTTTCCCCATTGCTACTGGATATCAACTGAGCTGAAAACAAAGAGGAAGAAGAACAAAGGGCTACCTTTCTTTCTTCAGTTTGTGCAAGAGAAGGGTAATGGAGTGGGAGCTCTACCACTACACCACACTAAGAGATTTTATCACCTCTCCCTCTTGTCACTCCCTCTACAATAATGGAGGAAGGTTGGTTTCCTTGCTCTTGCTATCCTTTATATTTGGGACACATTCTCATTATTTTTCCTCATTTATATTTCTTTCCCTATCTGTGTAGATATAGACATTTTAAGATGAACTCCACCATCTCCACACTTACATTCATTGAATGCTGCAAGTTTTTGTGTTTTTAAATATATTACAAATGTACCCTCAATTCGCTTCTGACATGATAAAGAAATAAAATTAATTGAATCTCTTCAAATAAATAGATACAACCCCTCTCTTTAGCTGTTCCCTCTATTTATTTTTAAAAGGAGAGATATGTTACATTCTGTGAAGTTTTATCTTCGACTTAGATGGAGGCATAGTCCCCCAAATCTGCCCCAATTTATACATGAAGACAACTTATACACAATATATACAGTATAGCATAATGCTCATTACTTTATTAATATATTCTCTTTATCACTTAGTTACCTTGGAAAAAGTGTAGTATGATTGTTCAGTTGCTTTGAGGTTTATTAGTCTGGACAATTAAGTGTCATCCAAAAAGCTTGGCTTTTTTTTTTTACTGTTCATAGCATTTTCCAGCTCATTTAACAGAAGTCTGCTGTTCAAACTTTATACACATAGATAGAGTCTGACAAATTTTAACCCCAACAACATTTTGAAATTATCACCTATGTTTAGATAGTTCTATGGTCTTAGTATTGGAAATTAGAATTTGAATGCCTCACTGTGCATTATTTTTAAATAATTGTGTTAGGTGTTTTAATTATATTTACGGATTTTTGTCAATCTTGTATTATTATATTATTGTTCATATTTTTCCACAAAACACTTGAAAAAGGCAAGTGTTAATTTACTTGCCCACCATCCCTTCCTCCATTTCAAATCCAATATGCATTGTAAGCCAATTTGCCACAACTCTCCAAATAAAGTGATCCACAAGGTACAATTTGTATAGTGTAACTTTATCCAGGGGTGAATAATGCCCCTTTGAAACGAACAAGAACTGTTATTAGCATTGCCTTTATTTATTTATAAAGAAACCTAGGAACCAAAGCAATGTAAAAAGAACGGAACAAAAAGAAAACCACCAGGCATTTGTTCAACACCAAGTAGATATTGTTATTCTTTGGTTTCCTTTGAAAGCCAAAATGCACCTGCCATCAAAGCAGCCGTGGAAGAGAAAAATCACTCCTATGTGGATAACCACAAGGGAGCCTGTTACACAGCTGGTTCACAGAGTTCAATCTTTGTGACAGAAAGAGATAGTGTCAACTTAAAGAGTCTTCCTGGTTCATGTTTTGATAAAAGGGTAATCTCTGACAAAGTTGTGATAGTTACACTAACCTCATTTATGTTATCTTTCTGTGTTACCTTTGGTTTCCCCCTTTTAAAAAAGATAATTGTAAGGTGGTAACATGGCCATGTGTTCTCTGCTTGAAATCACTCCTGCTGATTGCAGGAACAGATCACAAGAAAGCCAACTAATCTGGTCTCAGCAACCTCATTTTGCTTCAGTACTGTCATGCCAGAAGAAAATACGGATGTATTTTTGATTTTATACAGCAATTCTTGAGCTCCATAAGCTCAACGATATATGCAAACAACTAAGATTTCTGTGCAGACATGATTAAGAATAAGACTATACTACAAAACCCTTCTTGCTTGTATTTATTTCGATTTAATATATGGGTCTATTAATATTATATCCCACATTTTTTCTGGTTTGGGACCAAAGATGGCTTATAATAAAATGCAACTAAAAACCACACATGATATAAATAAAGCAAAAATGTGAAAAATTGATTTTAACTGGATAAACTATCATATAAAATACAAGATGTTTAGAACCTTTAGCATAATGCCAAGTTTTTAAATTTTGTTTATGTTTCAACTCACTTCTGACATGATAAATAAATTTAGAACTATATTAACTCAGTTAAATTGTGAAAAAAGTTGATCAAGCTATTATTGAAAAACTTTACAAAAATTTTGCCTTAATTCATGTCATAGTTATATGTAACATGGCCAGTGGTTTGGGATTCTGGGAGCTGTAGGGTGCAATATTTTGCAAAACATAAACAGTGGATCCAGTGTTTTCCAGGAAAGATGGTTTACCATTTCCAATTTAATAGAACTAATTAAACTTAGAGGAAATTCTCCAGCGTCCCCGTTGCATCATTTCAAAACTTCAACTACCTGTATGTGCCAGAACACTATGCAAATAACATATATTTTATCATCAAGCGCAACTGCTTTCTGAATACTGTTTCCAAGACTGGCATTTTAAGCACAGCTGAGCTTATGCTGGTACTCTGCATGTGAAGCATGCACTTTTCAATCAACACATTTTTAAAAGTTACACCTTTCATGCTTTCTTCCAAAGATTATTTTGTCAAAATATTTTATCACAACTCTCACTTGACAAAAGTAATACCGAATGTTTCACACCTTTATATGCTGTCCTATTCCCCAAACACAAATCTATACTAAAACAAAAATGTTATAAAGTTATCTTACGGCTTGAAAGGCAGTAAGCCAGCTTGCAGTTGACCTTCCTGAAAAGTTGCTTGTTGAATGGCCAGAGAATTAGAGTGAAGAGTTGAATGAAGTTGATTATCAGTCCCGAAGCTATAAATATGTAACTGATAAGAAGGTGGAAAATGAACTGAGACTTCAGAAACCCAGCGATGTCCATGGTTTAAGGTGGCAATGCAAAGCTTCCACAAAAAGAAAAACAATCCAGGAAATCAGGAAGGTAACTGTAAAAAAAAGTCAACAAGAAAATCCTATAATTAGAAAATGCTAACTTTTAAAACTCTTCATTTGTTTTATCTATTTTCTATCTGAGCAACAAAATCTTTTTCATGTAATTTGCACAAAAAGGTATCATAGATGGATTCATTTTCTTTACCTGTACAAAACACCACATGGATTGTACTAAATATGTTATGTCTATTCCTTAAATGAAGCAGTTTATGCAATACCCTCTCATTGATCTTTAACATTAGCATTGATTTATCCTGAAATCCAATGTTGCTTCCAGCTTGAAGACTTTTGATACCTACACAAACTAAATACAAGTATATTCATTGGTAGGAGGGATGGAAAGACAGAAAAATGAAAATCCAGAAAGTGTATAAAACAATGATAAAATGGCATTTTAAATAAGAAAAAGTTCTAGAGATATATAGTGTATATACTCCTTTTTAGGCTGAAAAAGCTCCCCTTGGCTTATACTCAGGTGAGGGTCCTGGCTGGAAGGCATGGGGCTGAAAGAAGGGCTTATGGAGCCCCACGTCTTCGTGCTAGAACCCTCACCTCTCCACACAGCAACCCAGTTCTCCTTCCTCTCCTCCTCTCTCAGTGCAGCTTGCACCTTCCTCTCCTCCTCTCTCAGCGCCAGTCTTTCCTACTTTTCCCTATTCATATACACACAGCATTTCCCCCAAAATGTATAGTTAAAATAAACTATGATTATTGGAAGGATATGTAAGCATATTTTCATTGAAAAGGGTTAGAATAATGATTTAATCAGTGTTGGAACAGTCTTATATTAAATTGTAGTTTTGTGTAAAATATTCAAAAACATTTAACCTACTGATGTTTCAGTTAATGTAATTTTATTGGTATCTAATTTTATTTTGAAATTTACCAGTAGCTGCTGCATTTTCCACCCTTGCCCTATACTTGAGTCAATGTTTCCCCAGTTTTTTTATGGTAAAATTAGGTGCCTTGGCTTATATTCGGGTCAGCTTGTACTCATTAATTCAGTCTTTAAAAAGTGGGTTTCATTTTTCTGATTTATTCACAGACGTAATGGCTATAGTGCTGCAAGAGTTCACAGCATATGATTTGATAAAATAAATAACATTTTCTGTGCTCTACTGGGAAAGCACTGTGCAAACCGACAGAAGAGAAATGTTACTTGAAAATGTACTTTAGCACATCAGCTCTTGAGAGTCTAAATTCTAAAATCTTGGTTAAGAAATATATGCATTATTTAATCATAGTCTCTTTCTACCCTTTAGACCTTAAAATTTCACTTTAGATATTCCAGCCTGTTGTGATTTTTTCCAAGCAATTAAACCTAAGAATTTCATGTTCCTTTCCACCTGAATGCCAGCATGTTCTCAGGAGCTTATATGTACTTTCTGCATGGACTGCAGAAAGTGATAGGTGGTATTATCGCCAATATCTTGGTTTTTCCTCCAAGGTCAGTATTATTAATATCATGTTCCCTTCACTACTTCCTCTCTGCAGGCATGTCTGACAAAAGAAATAACCCATCTTGACAGATATCATCAAGCAAAGGTTACAGCTCTCATAAGCTATGCACAAAACAAGAAAGTTAAAATAAAATGAATAATGATACACTAATGAGTGTCCTCTCTCTCAGAGACTGGAAAGTATATTTTTTGGGTCACAAATCCCAGAATCCTTAGCCCAGCAGTGTCAGTCATGTTAGCCAGGGAATTTTAAGAAACATGATCCCCAAAAGTGTATTTTCCAACTCTGCTAGCTCCATCTGTATGTGGGAAAGCTGTGTAGCATTGTACTATAGATGCCTGCTGAAACAGGGAGAGGCAACTAAATATCTGTTGCTCTGTTTTGGATGATTTGTGGGTCCCTGTTTCATTGCTGGGATTGGTCCGTGTTCTTTTCTTTATTCTGGGTGGTGTTTTGGACTGTGAGTCTTGGGTCATCTAGTGTGAGCGGCTCTCCATTCAGGAGCTTAGTTCATACAGTGTTTCATTTAGTGGCCTCAGACTGGGAGTGTTGTCCCAAGAATGGAAAGGTCCCGTTCCAGCGTGTTGATTCTCTACTCTTCAAAACTGAAGACATCAGAGGTGGGTGCCAGATCAGAGATTATAATTTTTCAGTAATCAGAGGAAAATGTCTGAGGATGGTTGCCAAATCTGACATGCCCTTATCGTAGAGCCCACCTGTATTTTATCCTGTCACAAAAATGTAGTTTGCTCTTATTGGCTTACTGTACATAATTAATTTTTTATTTTAATGTAAATACAACTGTGACTAGATTTATGACAGGATTTATGACAGGACGCCCTTAGGTGATGGTATTTTCCTATCTCCCCTCAATGAGACAAGAAGGAGTTGCACCTGGTTGATAGTATGTCTCTGACATACTATCAACCAGGTTGATAGTATTGTTTTATTTGTCTGGTGGGTGGCTTTTATCTGGAATTTCATGTGACTCACACATGAATCTGCTATTGTTGTTTTGGGAAATGATGATAAACTTTATTTGTATCCCACCCCATCTCCCTGAGGGGACTCAGAGCGGTTCACAACAATATAATTATACAAATCACCGTGACAATAACACACATAAATATATACAATTTAAATTAAATCAATGGTTAATAATGAGGCAAACAAAATAAAAATAAAGCAGCATTTTAAAATTACATAAAATTATATAGAAAGAGATAGACAGGGTAGGGACTTCTTGTGCCCTTATGATAGATAGGGTAAGAAGCGATAATTTAGTTGGACCCCACCATTGGTTTCAAACCACACGAATACAGAATTCAAATCCCTATTCAACCATAAAACTCACTAGGTGACCTTGGGCCAGGTGGATCTTTCAGCCCAACCTACTTTGCAATGTTGTTGATAAGGATTAGAGAAGGGAGGGGGGAAATATACCTTGCCTTGAGTTCCTAACAGGAAATAAGGATCTAAATGCAAATAAATAAATAATGAAATGACACGAGGTTGTACTTAGAAACACATAATTAAAATGACTGAAAACTAAAAAATGCCACAATTCCAAAACACCAACTTGATAAAAGTATCACTAAGATGAGAAAAACTCCTTTAGAAGTCTAGAATTCATGTACCTGAACATGCAGATGGCCTTTTAATATATGTATGTATTAGTAATTAAATCTATGCTCCAAATTAGAACTGCACAACTGGTCCTGCATCAAAGAAATGGAGGGCTGATGACTTTGCCTTCTCAGTCAGCTTCTTTGTCATCATGAAACAGTCAGCTCAGAGAATGGTGTGAGTTTACAAAATGGAATACTACAATCCTAGAATTGGAAGAGACCCCAAGCCATCCAGCCCATCCTTCTTCTGTGATGCATGAATATACAATCAAAGCACCTACGACAGACGACCATCCAACCTATGTTGAAAAACCTCTAGAGACTCCACAACACTCCAAGGCAGCATATTGTATTATAGAAGGAAACACTGTATCTACAACTTGGCAAAATACTCTGGAGTATGTCATATGAACTTTTCATGGTGAAGTTAAAGTGATAATGGGGGGGGGGGGGGTTGGGGGAAGAGATGCAATTCAATATTCATTTAATGGAGGATGAAGTAAATGGGGCTGGTATTCCTTGTGCTACAAAAATACAAAAGTGGCTAAATGCAGAGAGGGGGAGAAGTAACAATTGGTGTTTAGATTTCACAAAGGACCACCACCACCCCACTTACTCTAGGCACTTTGATTTGAAGTGTCACTGCTTTTCTCAATTCATCTTGATAGAAGACTGCCTAGAAGCCATTTACATGCAGTTCTAAGTTCCTTGAAAAGTGCAGTTCCTTAACAGAAAAACTGCTGGACCAGAAGGAAAGGTTTTAAAGCACATTGATATGGCATAAATCTCTGCTCTTTGAGGTGGAGGAAGGCATGCAAGAAGCAGTACCAGAAATCCTGTCATGTGCATGCAAGTCTTTTGGCACAACTAAAGTAACACTTTGGAATCTAGCCCAAAGCACTAACACTACACCAATGAAGATTATTTAAGGTCTGCAGTTATGTTCCAATTTTAAACTTAAGCATGCTCATTTATAGAGATCAGTTAAATGCATTTCCAGATAACAATGAGTCAGGCTGCAACATCCAGCAAAAAGATAAGGAAATCACACATTTCAAGGAACATATTGAGTGTTAAGTATCCTCAAGAGAAGTCTGAGTTACAATGACTAACATTAGGGTTTTTGGCCAAGATTTGTTCCAAAGAGTTTTGCCACTAACTTTCTCTACAGCTGAGAGAGTGTGACCTGCCCAAGGCCACTCAGTGGGCTTTCTGAGGCTGAGTGGGATTTGAACCTGGACTTGTGAAAGTGAAAAAACACAAATAAATAAATTGCCAATTTTATAGCTGAGAAAACACCATCCTAGGAATGTATAAGTATTTCAGCTGGAAGCTGGCCACAGAATCACTCTTGATTACCTAGAGATTCCTAGAGAGGTATTCTCTCTAGAAATCTCTAGATACTCCAGCATGACTGTAGGAAGCAAGTGATAGAGTCATGCTGGAAGACACAAAGATTTCCAGAGATAACACTTTAATCAAATCTATGAATAATCACATCTGCAAAAGTAAAACTGCAAATGTGGAGGGACAACAATATGTCAATCAGAGGTCTGAACACAACTACTTCCCCAGTCACCAAGATACCAAAGGATGCTTTCCTCTCCCCCCAATCCTGTATAATTATACCAGGAAGACCTTTTGCTCCTCCAGTTTTGAGTAGGATTTTGGCTACTATGTGCACACACATACTTCCAAGATACAGAAAACCTTGGCAGATACCCATACTTTGAAGATGCCAAATATCTTGGCAAACACACAAAGGCTGAAAATTTTAACTATGTAAGAATAGATCTCTCTTCTAGGTTCCAAGGAATCACCAGTTAAAAATGAAAACTTATGTTAAAACTTATTGAATATAATATACATGGGGATATGTGATCTAACAGTATTGATTATGTTGT